AGACGCCGGGGAGCCAGCTCCCATCCCAGCGCTGCTGGGGCTGAGCCGGGCCGGGCGCTGCCCCCGGCTCCAGCCGCTGTGCCCGAGGGCGATGTTCTCACCCCAGCCCAGGGCAGGAGCCCCAGCCACAGCCTGGACAGAGCAGAAGCGGCTGGGATACGGGGGCTGGAGTGCTCGGTCCATGAGGAGGAGCTGCCGGTGCCGCCTCGCAGCGCTCCCAGCCTGCCAGCTCTCCGGAATGGCGAAACGCCCCCCGCCCTTGGCTCCCTGAGATCCCCTCCGAACTGATCTGAGACTGGAATGTCTCCTGGGATGTGATTCCCTCTAGCCCGAGGGGAACTGCGTTAATAAAACCCAGCGTGAGCTGTGGAGGAGATGGGGGAGGAGGAGGCAGGGCTGGTGAGATGAGGCTTTTACGAACAAGTCGCAGGGCTGCTGGAAATGTCCCGTCCTGTCCTCTCTCCCTCTCCCCGTCCCTGGAGTCGAGCTGTGGAATTCAGGGTGTGGGTCGGGCCTTTTCTTCACGCACGTTTCTGCTCAGAGCAGCCAAGCCCCTCAGCTCCCTCTCTCCCCCCTCCCCAAACGCTGCTGAACTCCCTTCCCTGGAGCAGGTCCCGCTCCCCCAGCTCCTCTGGCTGCTGCTGGGACCTTCCTGGCCCTGCACACTGCTCTGGCATCGTGCCCTGCTGGGGCTCACCTGTGTCCCCGGGATGTGCAGCCGGCTCGGCAAGGAGGACAGCGGGAAGGAGAGAGGGCTCCCCACACCTGGGCAGGACGGGGTGGCTGCACACATGGGCTGCTCGCTGCTGGCTGAGCAGGACCAGCCAGACACGGGGCTCTGACTGAATAAAGCCATGTAAAGGCGGTAAGGATGTGAGCCGGGGGGAAAAAGACAGGAGAGCAAGAGGGTTTGGGGCCAGAGGAGATATCCATGAAGAGAGACCACGGAAATGTGGATTTTATTGGTGTGAGCGCACTCCTGGCTCCCTCTGGGATGCAAAGTGCCTCTCCCAGCAGTAACTTGGCACAGCAGTGATGCCAAGTCCTGCCATTCCAAACTCCTGGATGCTCTGTGACACACACTGCATTGCCACTAGCAAATGTCACTGGGATAAATTGGTTGGACAGTGCCAGAGATCAGTTCCCAAAGAGTTTTCACACTTCCTCTCGGGCTGCAGGTGCTGAACTCTGAGACTGAATTGTCACAAACTCCCTGTGGAAGCCTCAGATCCAGGGGAGCACCCAGAGACCACACAGCAGACTCTGAGGAACCATCTAAAAAGACACCACGAGAGCTTGCACAAGGCTGGGAATGAATCCAGCACAGCATCCACAGTGTCCAGCCTCTCCAGAGAGCCGAGGGGTTTGCTCAGACCACTGATTTTTCTGCTCCTACAGAGGAGGATCTTTGCACTCTTCCCAAGGAAGAGCCCATGGATGGAGAGTTCAGCACTTTGGTGGAGATGCCAACTGAAAGCATTTCAGCAGAAATCATGAGAAATCAGAGTGCACAACCAGGCTGCCCTGTGCATTTGCAAGGGTTATTGACTTTCCACGTGAAAAGGAGATACCGCTGGCTTCTTTTACAGGAAGGAAATGATATTTAGTTTCTGTCTGAAAAACTTCTGTTGGAAGCTGATGGCTGAGGAGCCTCAGTAGGACAGGAAGAGCAATGTGATGACTAAAACGCATGAAACATTTTGAAGAGCTGGGACAAAAGACCCCGAGTGTGTCTGTGCCCTGTTGTGTGGAGGCTGCAGCATCTCACAAGATGTCTCTGGGTGTTTTATGAGCTGTGTCCTGGCTCGGGAAGGGGCAGAGGTGGGGAGGCAGTCACTGTAAAGCTCTGGTTGAAAGCAGTCGCTGTTCATGGGTTGGTGCTAAGAGCCTCCTAAAGGTCAAGGGCACCTCTGCCTCACACACAGACCCACCCTCGAGTCTGTAGCTGGGCTTGGGTTGTTTCCTTACAGTGAAACTCCATCAGTGCCCCCCGGAGCTGTGTGGGGAACCATCGGGGCAGCTCCTGGAGGTGTCTGTCTGTCTGTCTGTCTGTCTGTCTGCAGAGGGAGGGGGAAGCAGACTGGCCAGGGAGTGGCTGTGTGGGAGCAGGAGGGAATGGCCTCTGGGCAGATGTTTGGGTGAGAAGGAAATGCTCAGTCCTGAGCCCATCGGCCTGGACAGCAAAGGTAAAACATGGACAGGTGAAGCAGGGAGCCTGCACAGGTGTGAGATCCCTCCAGGGCTCACTCAGCACTGTTATCTCCTGCGAGGGGTGTGAGCTCGCTGCTTCGGACTCCTGAAACCGCCTGACAGATCCCAGCCCCAGGGGAGGCAGCAAAGGTCACAGCCTCATTGCTCAGAACCCCCAGACACGCACCAAAAAAACCCAGTGCTGGCTTTTTAACTGGCCTTTTACCTCTGGACTCAGGTTTGCTGTCCTGTCCTGTGTACAATTTGCAGTATTTGTCCTCGGGATCTGAGGATACACCAGATGGGCTTTGGAAGAGGTAATTTCTTGACTTCTCTGACTGCAGAATTCGGGGACACAAAAGCCCCTCTTTCAGTTACAGTTAATGGCATCAGCCTTCAGCTGGGATGAGAACATGACTCCAAGAGCAAAGCCCCACTTCTGGATGTGTGACTACAAAGGAAATGGAACTTCCTAGATGCAGTAGCCACAAGGAGATTTGAAAGAAAGGTCTTTCTACCTCCTCTCCTTTCCCCACCAGGAGCTGAGGGCATCCTCATTTGGCACCTTCCTCCACCAGAGCGGGTTCAAGTGGCACAGGTAAAGGCAGGGGTGTTCCTGCACCTCCCAGGACCCACAGGCATGGCTGAGAGAAGCCTCTTCTGAGGGGGAAAAACCTCTCAGTGCAGCTCAGGTGTGCCTGGGGCTCAAACAGGAAACACTCATGATGTGCATGGATTGGGGTCCAGGAGAGCCTTCAGACCAAAAGTGGGTTAGCATGAACGAGTTAAAATCCTTTCCTTTGCTTGGTGAAATTTATTGAAAACTACATTGTTCATCTGTTGAAACTTCACAGCTGTTGAGATTGCCCTCGGGGCAAACCACATCCAAGAAATGGCATGTAGATCCTGGAGCACGGGACTTGAAAGCTGAAACGTTGCTCTGAGCGCTGCCTCCCTTCCCTCGCAGTCACGTCTGGCCATCTGCAGCTCCTCCAGTCACACACTGGGGGCTTCTCTTCCTCCCATTGCTCCTCTCCGACTCCTGCAGCACAGTCCTTTTGTTCCAGGCACTGCATTTTGGCTGAAGAGCAGCAAGGATGCAGATACAGGAAGATGTCTGTGTGGGGAGTGTGCTCCAGTGGCACCCAGAGCGAGACAGGGCTGTGTGCCACCATGGGACATCACCTGCCTGTGGCACTGCTATTTTATCCCTTGGGGAGCAGTGGTGAGGCAGGCCTGGGGCAAATGTGCCACTTGCTCATGAAAAATCTGTCAATTCTGTTTAGTGCTAGCAACTTGACTACTACTACTATTATTATTATTATTATTATGTTTTCTTTATTATTTTATTATTTAGTTGGCTGCAACTCTGCTTCCTAAAAAGGTGTATGGGATAAAAAGGTAGTTCTTGAATATTTCCTTCTGATTTGAGTGCTCTGTGTGAACTTGGGGACTGAAATCAGCCACTTGGCACAAGTAAATTAGGACTAGCTAAAGCTCAAACAACAAAATAAAAGGAGGACATGAGAAACCACTGAGTGCATGCACTCAGTCACAAATGATTCATGGAGTAATTTTGAGCAGCAAACACACTGGTAAGAACTGGAGGGTTTGCTTCTTTTTGGGGATCGTCCACAAACAAAAATATTGGCGAATCCATCAGACGCTTTCTTCTGCTTTGAATAGTTTGCCCAGATCCCCGAGCAATCATCCTGTGCAATTTGCTGCTCACCTAAATAACTTCAGGTACACCCAGAGCACTGCCCAGATCTGCCCCTGCACGCACTAATTAGGGCTCTCCGAGCGCAAACCTGCAGCTGCTGAGGCTCGGGCTGCACGCCCGGTGTGCCCCGACCCCGCCGGGAGCGGGCAGGACGTGCCCGCAGCCGGGGGTGGCTTCTGCAGGAGCCGGGGGTGTCACTGTCCCCCCAGCACAGCCCTGCCAGTGCAGCCAAAGGCGCGGCCAGCGCTGTGCCCGCGGCACGGCCAGACAGGCAGGAGACGCCGGTGGTGCATTCCTTACCTGTGAAACAACCTTGGGGAATTCCTGCAGCTCTTTGTAGCCACATTTCAGCTGTGACAGCGAGAGGATTTCAGCGAGGCAGACTCTGGAGGGGGAGGCTCTAAGTTCCTGTTAGAGCAATGGAGAGAAAGTTCAAAAAACACAGACCTGCCTCTGAATTCTGTTAAGTGGTAGCAACTTGCCTGCTTCTATTATTATTATTATTATTATTATTATTATTATTATTATTATTATTATTATTATTATTATTATTATTATTATTATTTAGTTGGCTGCAACTCTGCTTCCTAAAAACAGTATGGGATAAAAAGGTAGTTCTTGCATATTTCCTTCTGACCTGAGTGCTCTGTGTGAACTTGGGGACTGAAATCAGCCCTTACCTGGAGGATGAACTGGCCAGCCAGGGCACCAAGTTATTGAGAAATTACTGATTTTGAGTAAATCCTCACAGAGCTATTCAATAATTAGTTCTTGTCTTTCAGATTTTATGTCCCTAAAGCCAGAGTCAACCTTCAAGTGTAGGCAAGCCCTAACACTTGAACTGTGTAAGGAGAGACCTGGAGCAGGGGAAAAGAGAGGCAAAATGAAGTTACTTCATTGAATCACAGATCAAATTCAGTGTGAAAAATAGCGGAATTAGGAAGTTTGGCCAGTCAAACAGTGAAAATTGTTGCAAAGATATTCAGATGTAGGTGAGGCCCTCCTGCAGAAGCCCCCCGTGGGAGGATGGCTCCTGGGCAGGGCTCTCACAGGGAGACCTGACACCGAAATTCCACCTCCGGAGCCGAGGCCTCTCCAGCTGGGAGCGGAGGGTTTGGGGTGGGCGGTGTGTGCACGGGAGGAGCTGTGTACACTCAGCTTCCCAGACAGCCACAATAAATTATCTCATTAGTAAATGCTCCTCAGCACATACTCGGCCTCCCACTGCACAGAAAAACTTTGTGTCTAATTAACCAAATGAAAGGGTCCCCAGACGCAGCTGAGGGATGCGCTCAGCTTGAAGCCCAGGCTCCTTCAGCAAGTTCTGCGCCTAGTGGAACTAATGAATCTTGATTTCTTACGGCTGGAGCTCTGGCATTCCCTGTGCCCCCTGCAAGTCCGTCCTCTCCTCCCTCCAGCACATGCTGAGCCTCTTCCTACGGCCAGGAACAGCCAAGCAGGGAGAGGAGCCTCAGCCCCACACCCTGATGGCTCAAGCTGGCAGAGCTGAGTTTCCTCACAGCTCCCCGAGGTCACCCTCGTGTCACCTCCTGCCATTTCTCTCTCCTGTCTCTAAGACCCCTGTTTGCTCTCATGGCTTGTTGGACAGTGCCACACTTCTTTCCTTCAAGGAAGGGAGCCACACTTCTCCAGGACACACACCTGGGGAAAGGAAGAAGTGCAGGTGCTGCTGGGGCAGGGGCTTTCCAGTGACATTCCTCTGCTCTTCCAGCTGCTCCACCAGGCAGTGGGAAAAGACAGGCAGGGAAAGGCTGGATGTAAAATGCTGCTGTTCAGCTGAAAGCAGCACTGCACAGCTCCCGGGGCAGGAGAACTCCCCGGCACTGTGGGAGGAAGGATTTGGGAGTGTTGCCCCTCACCGGTGTTTGTTTGAGGAACAAATCCTCTCTTTGCTCAGGAGTGCAGGAGCTGCAGCTCCCCCTGCCCAGCTCCTGCACCGAGGGGTGTTTTGCTTTACAAACGCTTTTCTCTTCCCCTCGCTGGAAATTTGACTCTACAAAAACACTTGTGCAGCAGCTAATTGCCAGCCCTGCAGTGACTTAGCTCTCTAATTCCTGCCAGTCAATGAACCAGCCCAAAGAGCTGCTTTTCATAACGTGCTGAATGTACAAACACAGCCCTAGAGACATGACTTAGCTGGCTTTTTTTTTTTTCCTGTACATCTTCTTGACCCTTCTGCGTTTTGGAAATTTCTCTTCATTGGGCATAAGGAACATCCAGAGATGGAGGTGGCAACGAGGCCAATTCCAGGGAGACGCTGAGGAGACACGGACCCACAGAGGCCCCGGAGACGAGCAGGGCTGCCAGGGAAGAGATGATTGTCAGGAAATTGGTTTGGAGGTAAAACTGGCGTCGTCCAGCCTGTCTCTTCATGATTTGAGGGTTCATCATCATCTTTTCATGGATTCCTACTGCCCAACTATGTCCACACCTTCCAGAGCGTTCCTTGATCTCCTGGTTTGTATCCAGAGGGCTGCTGCAAAAATTGTTGTGCTGGTCAATGGCTTAGACCACATCATTCCTCTGTTCCCTCCTCGCTGGCAGCCTCGTCTCGCTGCCCCAGCTGCGGAGTGCTGCTGTTCCCTCTGCCAGCCCCTCATTTTCCACCTCTGTCCTGCAGCCACGCGATAGAGGCCGCGGGCCCTTCCCGCTCCCAGCCCTGCCCCACAGCGGGCCCTTCCCAGCTCGGCCCCCTCAGCCGCTCTGTCCCGGGAGCTGCCGAGGGCCAGCACGAAAGGAAACGGCCTCAAGCTGTGCCAGGGAATGCTGGATTGGACTTGAGGGAAAACCTCTTCACCGAAAGGGCCGCGGCACGGGGCACCCGGGGCAGCGCTGCAGTCACCGCCGGGGGTGCTCAGGAGCCCTGGGGACAGGGCAGTACCGGGGACACGGGTTACTGTGGCCTCGGAGTGCAGGGGAACGCCTGCACCTGCTCACTGTGAGCCTCGGGGTCCCGGTATCTGTGAGTCCCGGTGTCCCGGTGTCCCGGTGTCTGTGAGTGCCGGTGTCCCGGTGTCTGTGAGTCCCGGTGTCTGTGAGTCCCGGTGTCTGTGAGTGCCGGTGTCCCGGTATCTGTGAGTCCCGGTGTCCCGGTGTCTGTGAGTGCCGGTGTCCCGGTGTCTGTGAGTGCCGGTGTC